ACCGATTCAACAGGAAGTGGGTCAAGTTTGAACTGCAGTTGCCTCATAGTTTGCTCATGAAATTTTTCCAATAATCATTTTTAGGTAGATAAGTATCTATTTAATAAGATAAACACCAAAAAATTTATAGGATTCAACCGCTAGCTAGGAACGGTCATGCCCGCCGTTTTAACCGCATTTTGAAACGGGAATCAAAAATTCAAAAAAAATCAAAAAAATTGGAAAACCTTCGCATTGTGTCATTAAATGTGAATAAGTTTGCAGGAAAAATAATAAACTTGTAATATGGCAATTATTTTAAAAAGTGTTCTCAGAAATGAGCTATCATGCGTGAAGATTCATGGCTTTCAAGCCAAATGATCTATCTTATGGCCACATTCATGGCATAGTTTGTTTGAATGATCTCATATTGTGCACAAGGGTGCATATTGGAATGGCAAATAATGTTGCCTATGGGAGTTTTCATTTTCTTTGGACGAAAAAACCATTTTCCATTTTTCGAGTGCCCAAAAGGAGGTTTTTTGTGAAGGACCTCCCAAATAATTGTTGCAAAATTGGATCAAATCAATTTTATAAAATACTAGGACATATTTAATGCACAATTGACCAAATGGTTGGGTGTAAAAAGTTTTGATCCACCTCTCGTAAAAAAGACAAATTTCCGTCGATTCAGCTGGAAGCGGGTCAAATTTGAACTGCAGCTGCCTTGTAGTTTGCTATTTATTTTTTCTAAAAATCATTTCTAGGTACATAAGTATCTATTTAATCAGAGAAACACCAAAAAATTCCAAGATTCAACCACTAGCTAGGAACGGTCATTCCCGCTGTTTTAACCGCATTTTGAAACGGGAATCAAAAATTCAAAAAAATCAAAAAATTGGGAAACCTTCGCATTGTGTCATCATATGTGGCCAAGTTCCCAGGAAAAATAACAAACTTGTAATACGGCAATTATTTTAAAAAAGTGTTCTCAGAAACGAGCTATCATGTATGGAGATCAATGGCTTTCAAGCCAAATGATCAATCTTATGGCCACATTCATGGCATACTTTGTTCAAATGATCTCATATTGTGCACAAGGGTGCATATTGGAATGGCAAACAATGTTTCCTAAGGAAGTTTTCATTTTCTTTGTACGAAAAAACCATTTTACATTTTTCGAGTGCCCAAAAGGAGGTTTTTTGTGAAGGGCCTCCCAAATAATTGTTGCAAAATTGGACCAAATCATTTTTATAAAATACTAGTCCATATTTAATGCAAAATTGACCAAATGGTTGGGTGCAAAAAGTTTTGATCCACCTCTCGTGAAAAAGACAAATTTCCGCCGATTCAGCTGGAAGCGGGTCACATTTGAACTGCAGCTGCCTCATAGTTTGCTATTTATTTTTTCCAAAAATCATTTCTAGGTACATAAGTATCTATTTAATCAGAGAAACACCAAAAAAATTCCAAGATTCAACCACTAGCTAGGAACGGTCATTCCCGCCGTTTTGACCGTATTTTGAAACGGGCATAAAAAATTCAAAAAAATCAAAAAATTAGGAAACCTTCGCATTGTGTCATCATATGTGGCCAAGTTCCTAGGAAAAATAACAAACTTTTAATACAGCAATTATTATAAAAAAGTGTTCTCAGAAACGAGCTATCATGTGTGGAGATCAATGGCTTTCAAGCCAAATGATCAATCTTATGGCCACATCCATGGCATAGTTTGTTCAAATGATCTCATATTGTGCACAAGAGTGCATATTGGAATGGCAAACAATGTTGTCTAAGGAAGTTTTCATTTTCGTTGGACGAAAAAACCATTTTCCATTTTTCGAGTGCCCAAAAGGAGGTTTTTTTGTGAAGGAACTACCAAATAATTGTTGCAAAATTGGACCAAATCATTTTTATAAAATACTAGGCCATATTTAATGCACAATTGACAAAATGGTTGGGTGTAAATTTTTTGATCCACCTCTCGTGAAAAAGACAAATTTCCGCCGATCCAGGTGGAAGCGGGTCAAATTTGAACTGCAACTGCCTCATAGTTTGCTATTTATTTTTTCCAAAAATCATTTATAGTTACATAAGGACCTATTTAATCATAAATACATGGTTTTTTGGCGATATGTCGAGGTTTGGGCGGCGGCCGAGGGCCCCAACTCTAGAGCGCGTAAACTTGCATGCCCGCCGCGTGGTCACCGCGCGACCGTGACGTTGCCATGTGTTCTGCGCGGCCTAGGCATGTCTAGTGGGTTGGGCACTCCCCAGGTTGGTGCTAGGAAGAAAATTACAATATAAGATTCTCACGAGGAGACCAATCGATGCTCAAACATGAATTAGCAGCCAAGTGTTTGATTAGCGGTACGGGAAATTCGCATGGCCAATGGGCGTGAGTTTTGGCTGAGGATGATCATCTACTAAGGAGAATGTCTTCACAAATTTTGAGCTCAAAAGGAGGATCCTAGGTGGTACTTGCTTTGAAAAGTACCACCTTGGACAAAAATATGAATGTTGAAGCTGGGCTCAAAATAATAAATGGAGTGAGCCGAAATTTTGTGGAGGATGGTTATTTGGGCATTGGAAAGCATTGTAGAAAATTGATACCATTTGGACATGCCAAAGTAGTACTTCCTTCACAATGCTCTTCTATGGACAGAAACTTGGGAAAACTAGTGAGAGAGCTTGGATAAATGAAATGAGCTCAAAATTGGTGCAGGTAAGTTACTTAGGTATGGTCATGCTCTGCTAAATTTTAAGATCATTTGGGTAAGCCTAGCTAGTACTTACTTCACAAAGCTTCTCTCAAGGTAGAAACTTTGGAAATTTCCCGAAAAAGATTTACTAGGAAAATTGAGCTGAATATTATCATGTGGCAATTATTTGGGTATGGAAGAGTGCCCGAAAAGTTTGAGGGTAATAGGATGGGTCTATATAACACTTGCTTTGCAACGTGCCAATTTGGCCATAAAATATAAATTGAACCTGGGCTCACATAGATGATTTGACTGAGCTGAAATTTGGAGGAGGGTGATAATTTTGGCATATGAAGGAACTGTATAAATTTCATGTCATTTAGAGATATAAAAAAGGTACTTCCTTCACAATGCTTCTAGGTGGACAAAAACTTTGGAAATTTGCCGAAGAAGATTTGCTAGGCAAATGGAGCTGAATTTTGTCATGCGGTAATGATTTGGATAGGAAAGAGTGCCCAAAAATTCCGAGGGCAATCAAGAATATATAAATAGCACTTCCTTCATAAAGTGTTGTTGTGAACAGAATAGGAAAATGAATATTGTTGAATTAGTTTTGAACTAGGCAAGGAAGGATTTTTACATATTTGATGAAGATATGCCCCAAAGAATTTATGAGATTTTTTTGGGAATTTTGGGAATGATAGAAATATAGGTTGCTTCACAACCTAGGGCAAAAACTGCCACATGGACATGATACATAGGCAAAACTAATGAGATGGCGCCTAGTCATCACAACCCACCACAATCTACAAGGCTATGACCATCTATATTGGTCATTAACAACTAGAAATAAGGCAGCGGACTAGCACTGTTTGCTTTGTAACCATTTCGTGTAAGGAAATTACGACCTTTCTGAACAAAATGGTCGCAATGGTTTAGGGTTTGGAGCCCCCTGAACAGCTTTTGACCAATTGGTCTAAAATGGTCATAAATTTATGACCAATTCTTCGAGGGTCACTGACAGAAGGTCATAAGTTGACATATTTCTTGTAGTGACCCAACAGACACTTTCGGAGATACCTGTAGTATACCTTTATAGTCACCCAGTTACGTTATGACGTTTGGTACACCCAAAGCACTCCTACGATATCCGGGAGTTACACGATCTCATAGTCTAAGAAAAAGATACTTGACATTGGAAAAACTCTAGCAAACGAACTATACGATCTTGTGCTATGTTTAGGATTGAGTCTTGTCCATCACATCATTCTCCTAATGATGTGATCTCGTTATAAACGACATCCAATGTCCATAGTCAGGAAACCATGACTATCTATTGATCAATGAGCTAGTCAACTAGAGGCTTAATAGGGACATATTGGTGTCTATGTATTCACACATGTATTACGATTTTCGGATAACACAATTATAGCATGAATAAAAGACAATTATCATGAACAAGGAAATATAATAATAATCCTTTTATTATTGTCTCTAGGGCATATTTCCAACAGCACCCTAGATGCACCATCGAACTCCTGATTTGGCACCTTCGTGCGACGATATCAGAGAAGGAAACCTGACCCGTCAACCTTGAACCATGAATCCACCGTCTCCTAGTTGTCACCAACAGAGAACAACACCAGCACACGCTCCTGAACAACCTATCATCCTCCGCGTCGATGCAGAGCAAACGTCGTCGTAACGGCAGAGACCGAGGACACAAATTCACCATAGGAATGACGTCGCGGCCACACCATCCCCACTCGAACAAACTAACACCCGGATCCAACACCCATCAAAGAACGGAACACCATGTCGGGAAAGGACACGAAGCTTTCCTATTCGACGCGGCCGACGCCCTCGCTTTAGCCATGACATCGAGCGTCCAAAACCAAAGCTACCAGGGCCCTACAAACCACATGATCTGCATGCGTGGGATTCAGCTGCCTCCCTACGAACGACAACCCAGAGATTGGCCAGGAAGGGGAGCCGCGGAAGTACGGCGCCGGAAAGCTCTAGTAGCTCCTGACAAAAGAGATCACTTTTTTTCTCTTTCACTACACACGGGTTTTGATTATACAGTTTCCGTCTCAAAATAAGTGTCGTTGATTTGGTATATACTAATTTAACACAAACACACTCATGTATGTAAATATCTGTGGGGCATACATTGTTGTGTTTTTGGGGAGCGGGCCGTAAAAATTACCGGTGCATGATTGGTGAGTGAAGTCTCTCCGTCCTCCTCCTCACCCACCCCCACGCCGACCACCTCCCCATTCCGGCAAACCCTAGCCTAGCCCCGCCTCACCGCCGCCCATGGAGGAGGACGCGGGCGAGGGCGAGGGCGAGGGCGAGGTCGAGATCCGCGACTGGGCGGGGATGCCGTCGGACGCGCTCTTCGCGGTGTTCGGGAAGCTGGACGTGGCCGACATCCTGACGGGGGCCGGGCGGGCGTGCCGCGCCTGGCGCCGCCTCGCCGACGGCGACCCCGCGCTGTGGCGCCGCCTCGACATGACCCACCACGGGGACATCCTCGAGACCGAGGAGGCCGAGGCCATGGCCCGCGCCGCCGTCGACCGCGCGGCCGGCACCCTCCAGTCCTTCTGCGCCGACACCTTCGTCACCGACGCCCTCCTCAGCTACATCTCCGGCAGGTC